AGATGAGTGGACGCACCTTTAAAAGCATTGTTTTTCTCATGTGAGGTGTGTGAGCTGTCAGGCTTGGTCGTAGGAGGATCTGTTTTAGCATGAAACTGCTCACTCAAATCATTAAATTTTTGAAGAAGTTCCTGCCAGTTGCGCTCAAAACCTTTTTTTTCAGTTTCAAATCTCTCTCTCTCATTATCAAGAGTTTTTTGTAGATTTTTGAGCTTTTGAGCCATGGGAAAAATACATGGTTCCTCACCAGTTTTAGCAATACCAACTCTTGGAGGAGGATCTAGAGGATGTCCTATGTGAGGAATATCTTTAGCATAGGGGTCTAGGCATTCACTAAAGCAGGAAGTCGGTTTTTCTTCTGAAAGTTGTTTTTCATTTACAGAGGGATAATCACAAGAAATCGCAGGTTTTGGTTTCTTTCTCTTTTCTTCTTCTGCTTCAGCATAATCTTCATCACTTCGAAAATACATTTTCTCGCCAAACCCTAGTCCCATGTAATCTTTGTTATAGAATTGAAGGCAATTAACTTTCTTAAGATTACGTGGGTTTGTTATGCCCAGACCTGTTTTAGCATTGTAGAATCGGTCATCCTTTTGTTTGTTGTTAAGCAGAAAAACAGTTTGTTCAGATTGACCTCTTCTAGCAGCTAGATCTTCTAGTTCTTTTACTTTATTTAAAAGCGTTCTTCTTTTGTTATGCAAAAAATCGCATTCAGCCTTTGCTGTGCTTTTTTCCCGTTCACTGTCCTCAAATTTCTTAGTTAATTCAGCTATCTTAAGTTCAAAGCTTTCAAAATCTGAAGACACCTTTTTGACTTGATCTTTTGCAATTTCAAGTTGAATACTTAAGGAAGACTTTTGGTCTAGATTCTGTTTCAGAACTCTATGATTATTGTCTAGTCTCTCCTTTAGTTCTTTGATTAGATTGTCCTTTTCAAGTAAGGACTGCATTTGATTATTTAAAGAAGTATGGGAGGTACTTACAGAGCTTGTTGAGCACTTGCTTTCGGGGATCGCAGCATCACCCTTTATTTCATCTCCCTCCACACTTGCCATAAGAGCATAGTTGTCTTCCTCTTCCTCCTCCTCAGAAGAATCTTCTGCCCAGTTCTCATTTTCAGCAATCATGGCAGAGGTTTCTTCTTCTTTTTGCACCATCAGCATTTTCTGCTTATTCCACAGCATCTTCTGCTTGTAGAAGTTAGCATCTTTCTTCTTTGGGAGGCGGCAGTCTTTGATCACATGTCCAGGCTTGCCGCAATTATAGCATTTAGGTGCTTCTTCTGCTGATGATGCCTTCCTAGAAGATCCTTGATCATGATTCTTCTGTTTGTAGTTTGAGGAGGAAGTTCTCAGCCTGTTGGAGGAAGTGTTCTTCTTTGCAAATCTTTTGGCCAGCATTGCCATCTTCTTCTGTAAGTCTGCTAGCTCAGCCTCTAGATCATATTTGTCATCGTCACTCTCATCATCATCTGATTCAACCACCACCTTCTTCTTTTTCTTCTTTAGTGAAGTGGTTGTCCTTCTAGGCTGAGCATCCATTACAAGAGCTAAGGGGTTTGTGGTATGATGATCCTCAGCGCAGGCAACCTCGTTGACGAATTGCTTCAGATGTTCATAGAGTGTGCAAAGGTCAATTTCGTCCAAATCTATCCGAGATCTGACATCCTTCACTGTCTTTTCCCATGCAGGATGTAGGCTAGATAAAAATCTAATATTCAGTTCCAGATTGGACCTGAATACTTTGATCTTTCTGAGCTCATTTACCAGTTGAACAAGTCTGTTGTAAGTCTCATTCAATGGTTCTCCTGGACCTGCTTTGAAGGAGTCATAAGCGATGAGAATCGTAGTCTTCTTTGTTTTGAGGCTGATGCTTGTGCCTTGTAGCAGCTTTTCAATTTCATCCCACATCTCCTTAGCTGTCTGCATGCTATCTATGAGAACATAAACTTCGTTTGGTATTGCTTGAAGGAGGTACGTTTTGGCCATAAGATCACCACGAAGTCTGAGCTTGTCGGCTTCTGTGTATTCAGATGGCACTTTTCTCCTTATTTCTGGAAAAATAGGAGGATTGTTCTCTGGATCTCCACCAACTGAAATCAAGAGTTCAGCTGGTCCTTCAAGCAAAGATTCGAGCATTGCAGAAGAGTTCTCTTTGTGCTCGAGGAAGTTTAGAAATCTGTTCCTCCACATTTGGTATTCTCCCTTCCTGAGGCTAGGAGGGGTACTGCTGTTCCCTTGTGCATTGTATTCTGAACCCATTGCTGTACTAAACTGACCGTTCGAGAAAATTGATCAAAAGATTTTCAGAGGCAGAATCTCGAAAAATCAGATGTCGAGATCTGAATATCGAAATCTCAGATTTCGATAAAGGAGGCCCGATATCGAGATTTGGGCTCGAGATTAAGGATCTCGAGATTTGGGATCTCGAGATTTCAGATTTCGAGATGCTGATCTCGAGATTTGAAATGTCGAGAAGTTAATCTCTCGAAATCTTAATCTGATGAGTCAAATGTCGAGACCAGATGTCGAAACCTTTTCTCGAAATCAAGATTTCGAAATCCTAGATGTCGAAATCCTCAATGTCGAAATCTTTCAACCTGTAAAAATCAGATAATCAAAATCTGAAGATAGTTTCCTGTAGAGTTGAATGTCGGGATCTTCTGGTAAAGTTTTCAGCTTGAAAAACGTAGCAGAACCTGTGAAGAAGTAGGATGTCGAGATGCCTAGCTCGAGATATCTCGAAATCAAAAATTGCGTAAAACACAAACTGAAGTATACCCTTTGATCGCTTTGAAACGGCGATTCCAAAGGTGTAACTTTTACAACTTTTGAACAAGAAACAAAATTACAGAGCAAAAAATCGACAGAATGAACTACGTTAACAAAAACAGAGTATTCTGCAGGAGTTCTTCTGATCGTTCTCGATCGGCTCTGATACCAATTGTTAGTCCCTGTTTCTTTCACAGCAATGAATAATCGATCTAACAAGGAAGATTAAACGTAAAGATGAACACAGAATGAATCACCATAAAACCTTCTTTGATAAACCGTGGAACGTACAGCAGAATGATATAAGCGTAAGGCTATGAATAATAAGTACGACGTTCAACCTTTTCCTAAACCTCGGCTCCCTTTTTATAGGCGAGGTTTAGGTTAGGCGTACCAGGCTTTTGGCCTGTTTAAATGGGCCTAACACTTGGCCTTATTTTTATCTAATTTATGCACTATTTAAATACAAGGATTAAATATAAAGCTAATCTATGACCAACTTGATTCACAATAAAATATCTCCAACAGTCTTGTTTGAGAAAGTACAAGTGTTTTTCTCTTGATTAGATTATACAATTTTATTTGCTCTTGTAACCCGAACAAGCTTTGAGAAGGTTTAAGTTCATTTTTTGAAAGGAAAAGACTTATATCGCAACTTTGGTCATCCGCCCTAAAGTTAGACATATAATTACTTGCATTAGAAAATGCATAGTAATTTGTTAACCACTAATCGAGTAATTTGCCCATTTTTATTTTATTAATCAAATGTATTTTTTGGTTGTGGTATGACTCAACTGGACTGTTCTTCTTTTCTGGTTGTGTTTGTTCTGTGCTTTGACAGTTCTTTCCTCAGCACTGGTGCAACAATTTTTTTTGTTTCCCTCGATATGGGGAGTTGTTTTGGTGTCCTGACCAACTTGGTCTGGTCAGGAGTTTCTGATTGCTTTCTTTTGGACTGTGAAGATAATGTTAGAGCTCGTCCTCCTCTAGAACCACCGTCGCGCCTCGAAAAGTTTGTGGAAAGGCTTTATTTCAATTTTATTTTTCCTTTAGTACTTATTTTTATTTTACTTCGAGTAGGTTTGTTTTCGATACTTCGATTTTTGGAGAAGTTTTTATAAACAATGTTTCAGTCCCGATTGTTTTAGACTTACATTTGCTCGTTTTGTGTCTAGCAAATCAGGTTGTTTTGTATGAGATGGTTGATTATATGTCTATTCATAGGATTTACGATCGGCTCTGTCATATATGTCTGGAGGTTGTCTGGTACGATTTCGCGATATTAATATAAAAAACTGCTTTTTTATATTTCAAAAAAATGTTAGTTTATACGGAGTATAATTTTCTAATATGTTTAATAGTCAAGTTAGTATATTGTTTGAGAATGTGAGATGAGTTTCAGTTTTATATACTCCGTAACTATAAAGGGGCAACCTGTTTGCGAAGGCATCCCGAAATGCGAAGATGAGGAGAAGGTCCCGCCACAAGAGTGTATAATATGGAAACTTTCTCCGGTCAAATTTTTTGACAAGAGATTACTCTTGAGACTTGAAGCCATTAATCGGTGGGCCAAGACTCTTCTGCTTTTTTATAGTTGTACTTGCCAAAGTGACACCCTATCAACATCGATCATTCTCTATCCATCTCTGAAAAAATATAATCGTATAAAGAGAAAATAAAAAGATGACACCCCATCCCTGAGGGCTCCAAATCTCATCTCCGAGAAAATATAACCGTATAAAGAGAAAAGAATATTGGTTGGTGCACATCTTAGTCTGCTCTTTTTAATCATACATTGTTGGAGCACTTTTTTCCACTTGGAATTCATTGCATCATTTGGGGTTTCTTTTGGTGTCAATTTTCAGTTTATTTTATCAAGAACGGAAAAAGCACTTCCGTTACTTTGTTGACTTGAAATTCATACTTGTTTTGCTTAACATAGGTGTGCCTTTTCATCAAAGGTGGAGAGAGGGGAGGCTGGCGGTAAATTACACGGTGCAGCCGGCTGTACCTAGAGCATGGTACAACCGGGTTTTTTTTTGTAATTACCTTCAAGTTTGAGCTTCGTTGTTTAATGTGATGTTCGTCCTTCGCGCTGAAGATTCCGTCTTTTTCCTAGGTTTATTCCAGTCGTCTCTTTCTTCTCTACGACATTCGATCTCTCCGACTGAAAGCTTCTATTTGGTCATCAATGCAATTAATATTTTTTCTTCCTCCGGTCCTCTCTTTCTTCTCTATCGCATTCGATCTCTTTAATCTCTACCGCATTCAATCTCTTATTGTCTTCATCTATTTTTCTTCTTTGTTGTTTGGATTTTCGATCTTTCTTCCTGTTGTTTACTTCGTCATATTTATTATTTACTTCCGTTTGTTCTTGCGCAGATTTACGTTTCTGCAGTTTTTTTGACCACTGAAGGTGTAAGTAAGTACTTGTTGTTAAGTTATTATCTTCTCTCGTTGGAACAAAATCTTTTTTTCATTCAGTTCAAATGTTTTATGTTGCAGCACTTTTTTTATCCAAGAATTGATACTATGTCTAGTTCTGAAGGTAATTTTTTAAATAACATGTTCATTGTATTTGATCTTTTTTTTATGCTTTTTATTTTATTTTTTGATGAGTATTGCTTTACTTAGTAATGATTATCTATTTTTTTGAACTGTTATCCCTTGTCTAGATAATATGTCTTGCAGTGGCAAATTAATAGAGGAAATTGAGGCCAGAGGTGAACTTTTTGAAGCTGATTGCGGTAATATTTTCTAGCCTAACAAGTCACATATTTTTGTTGTATTGTCTTTGTTGTTTACTTTGAACTATTTGTTATTTATTTGTGCGTTTTTTTGGATTCATATTACTTGGAATCTGGTGATACCTTAAGCGAAGCTTTTTTGTCTACCACTGAATCTGTTCCCGTGCTACCAAGTATTGTGCTTTCTTACATTTTATCCCTTATTTATTTATTTATTTTTTCTTTGCATTCAAATTTTTTTGGCAGTTCAAACTTCTTCAACTTTTGTTCATGAAGCCCATTCTGATGAGCGTTTGTGTGTTGAAACAATATCAGTTAAGGAAGCTGAAATTTCTGAACTATTGGGCAAAACAGTTTTTTCTGAAAAAGAGGCATTTGAGCTATACAATGACTACGCTTATAGAATTGGATTTGGTGTTCGTTATTCTACTTTGAGAAAGAGAGGTGGCGGTTCTGGCTTTAGGGGAAGGGAATTTTGTTGTACTAAACAAGGTTTAAAGAGGAACAAAGGTGTTGTTGTTAAACAATATACAAAAGTTGATAGGTGAACTGGTTGTAAGGCAAAAATATATTTTGAGATAAAGCCTATTGGTGAGTTTGTTGTAGTTAGGCATGATATGGTTCATAATCACAATTTTTTCCCGAGCTCTTTAGTTCATCATGTTAGGTCTCATTGTGCTGTTTCGTCAAGCAACTTAGAATATTTGCAACATTTGAAAAATAAAGAAGTTAAAGTAGCAGATGATTTTCGTTGCTTACAAGCAGAAGCTGGTGGATCTCTTGTGGTTGGTTTTCTTTTGCGTGACGCTTATAATGAGTTGACAAAAAAGAAAAAAATCTTTTGATGGTTGTGATGCAAACACATTGAGTTGGTGTTAACTCTCACACTCATAATTGCATGTTTGGTTGTGGATTTTTGTTAAATGAGAGGATTGAATCGTTTGAATGGCTTTTCAATACTTTTTTGCAATCTATGGGTTCTGTCCATCCAAGAACTGTTATGACAAATCAATCTGCTGCCGTGGCTGCTGCAATTTCTACAGTTTTCCCTCTCTCCAAACATCGTATTTGTATATGGCATATCATTGAAAATTCTAAGAAACATATACGCGATTTATGGAATCAAGAGGGATTCTTGGATTTGTTTGATCATGTTTTGAAACTTTGTCACACTGTTGCTGAATTTGATTATTATTGGAATATGTATGTTTCATTGTGAATATATTTTTTCCCACATTTACTGTTTTTATGAGTATTGTTTAAAACATTAATGAGTAACAAGTTGTGTGAAATGATTATTTGTTTTTCTTTGCAGAATGATATCTGAATATAATTGCTCTGATAATCCTTGGTTAACCAAACTGTATGAGATGAGGGACAAATGGTGTCCAGCTTTTTCAAAAGAATTCTTCTCTGCTGGCATTTTATCTTCACAACGAAGCGAGACCACAAATCACTCTTTGTCTAGAAAACTGAATGCTACCTCTTCTCTATGTGACTTCTATCATTTTTTTAGTGAAGCTGTCAGTCATTGGAGAAGTAATGAGGGCAAAGATCATCAGCGTTGTTTGGATGGTTTTCCTGAAATTGCTATTCCTCATGTTAGTTTGTTACATAAAGCTTCTAAGCTTTATACGATTGATGCTTATAAACTTTTTGAGAAAGAATTTATGCGAGGTATGTCTCTGAAATTTGAACTTAGATACCATCAAGGTTCTTTAATGGGATATTTAGTATGGATGCCTCAAACAGATCGGTTTTCACATTGGGTTTCATTTGATGTAACAACACATTTTGTTAGTTGTTCTTGTCAGAAATTCCCAAAGGCTGGTATTTTGTGTTGTCATATTCTTCGTATATATCATATACACTGTGTAGAAGTTATTCCGGATTGTTATATTCTCAAACGGTGGACTCGTACGACAAAGTCTCTTCCAAGTGAACTACCTTTTGTGTTAGATGATTCTTCTAATGTGTTACCTTCAGTTTGGAGAATGCAAATGCAGAAGAAATTTCACAAGCTTTTGTGTTCTAGTGGTTCTAATTCTACAACAAGGCAATTGTGTGAAGAATCTTTTAAAAAGTTGAAACTGGATGTTGAAGATCAAGTTGGAAGCATTTATTTCTCTGATAGTGATTCTACCTCAGTTGGTGTGACTTCAAGAATATCCAATCCAAAGAGTTCAAGGAAAAAGGGTGAAAGAAATGTGCATCGCAAGAGTGTTATTGAAGTGAAAACAAATAAAGCTAGAGCAAGGAAAAAGTCATGTCAAGCTAGTACATCAGCACCTGAGCACGCAAGTTTGTAGTTAGATTTTCAAATATCAATGTATTCACGCTGCTATTGTTCACTCATTTGCTATTGTTAGACTTATTTATGTTATTAAATTACTCAGTGACATTGTTTGGATGCTCAAACTAAAACCTGTTGTTGATCATTTGCTTATACAAATCTCAATACTACGTAATTGCTGACTAGTATGTTTGGAATAAACACTTTTTGGGTTACTACCTTGGATATTGGAACATCTAAGTAGTTATTATGTTGCTATTCTTTTGTTTATTACCTTTTTTTTGTTGCTCATATTTTTTTTGGTTATAGTTTATACAATAAACATATACCTTGAATATTCTTGTCCATACAATAATCATTTAGTTAAATATTATGAGTTTGGTTACCTATGTTAATGAGCCCTTTTACAGGAGGCTTTGTCCGACTGTCACCATTTGGGGTGGTTTCCGGTGGAATTTTTTGATGAAATTTTTTGAGAATCTTCTTCATTAAGTCTAGTTTAACCAAACTAAATTTCACCTAAAAAGTCAATCTAGAAGGCAGTCAAATGATTTTCTGAAATATACTGTGCTGCCTAACTACACAGTTATCTTCAAAAATTCGTTTGACTGTCTTACAGATTGAATTTTTAGCTGAAATTTGGTATGAGTAAACTAGACTCAATGAGAAAGATTCTCAAAAACTTTCATAAAAAAAATCTATCGGAAACCGCCCCAAATGGTGACGGCCGAGCAGAGTCTCCTATAAAAGGGCTTATTTGCACTTTTTATGAAAGTTCGAGGGCTCATTTGATAGTTCTCCCTTTATATGTTATTCTTTGTATTCATTCGACATGAATACACTCCTTTCAAAAATTATCATGAATACTAATTCAAATGACCATTCCATTAATAAAATCATCTTTTGATTAATCCACTGTTTTTTAATAATCTATACTCATGTTTATGATTTATTTAATATTCATCTTAGACTATTACCTTCATTATTAATGACAAAAGATTGGACATTAAGTATTTTACAACGCTCATTTCCACTATATACAATACTCATTTAAAAAACATCTATTGTTTAGTTTTATACTTACCAGCTGATTTGGTTGCAAAAAAGATACTTAGTTCCTACTTATCAAGTATATTAGCGTATAACATGAACATATAAGGTAATAGTAATGATCATCAATATAAACGCAATGTCTAACTGCCATTTTTTCAATATTACATACTTTATAAATGTCAAGCACTTACTAATATAGTAAAATATAGTAGTGAAACATGTCTAAAGATTCACATTCCAATCCACAAAATATGCTAAAGATTCACATTCCAATCCATAAAGTATGTTTCTTCCAACAACCAAATTATAGTAGGTGTTTTCGTCCTACATCACATTCTTTTGCTTCACTGTTTCCATCGCTTTCACCCTGACTTCATTGTTCTGAAATGTCAATATTTTATGCACATACTTGATCCTCAGAATCTGTATTGGCTTTTCCTGCATTATAATATATGTTAGTTATAATATACCTTCATATTTTTCTCCTACTAATGAATGTTAGTACACTAATTTACATTAAATATTTTTTAAAGAAATGTGGCCTTTACATTTCCATTTTCGAGTCCACACTCCCAATCAATATCTCCATGGAACGTTTCCGTGTGCCTCATCATGTACACTTTTTCATTTTCTTTGGCATTGTTTCTCCATGCCATTCTTACAACTTCTGGCTGCATGTTTTTCACTTTCTCTGCATGTGGGTGCCTTACATCTCTGAGCCACTTCAGTACAACACTTTTCTATACATATAAGTATTTAAACAGTTTGTGTATTTAGTATGTATAAAAACATTTGAACACTAAAACTGTACGATTACTCATATAATATGTTCAAAATACTCATTCCAAAACCATACAATTCTTATTTGTAAACTTACCAGGTGGTTTGGTGGGAACCATACTTCATTTTTATCGCTATTTCCCTGTCACAGCTATCAATGATGCTGAACTTTGTATTCTTCAAATCGATGCACATTAAGTAATAACTTCCATTTTTTTCAGCCGGGAATAAAAACAAATCCATATTGTTCAGTTTTGGCAATGCTCCAGTAAATTGTTCCCGAGTGGCTTCAACAAACCTCTTCATCCTTGTTGTTGCAGTGCTGAGCTGGTTTTCCTCCAATACTTTCTGTATATTAATCATTTAAAATATTACTTATAAATCTATGAATAAAAATATGTACAACAATAATTCTTATGCATGGTGATGCTGTGAATATCAATTTGTTTCTCGATTCCTTGCTCTTAAGAGTCTCTATGTGGTTTAGAATCATTGCCCATACGTCTATGACTTTTGGACTGACTTTGCAATTGATGTCCAGAGACTCCAATACTCCCTTTGTAAGAACAACATTTCCTTCTTTGTACAACACAATACTATTTCATTGAAAAAAAGTGGTCAGCAAAGTTTCATCCAGTTATACTATTTGATGAGTATTCAATTACTTACTTTTTATCATTGTTGTTGTTAAACACAAATTCAGCCACTTTTATCTCTTCAGTTGTCATTGAGCCCTTGATTTCAATAATTCTACCAACATATGGAGACTTGTGAGGAGCTGTAGGGATTACTTGTCTTTTTTTTCACTTGATTCTCCTGACAACAACCTTCATCATCAAGAGCAACCTGCTTTCCATTTTCAGCTGATCTGTTTCTGGCTTCATCATTAACTTTTTGATCTCTGCTTTCTGTTTCAACATTCACTTCTTCACGCTCATTATGAAGTTCCACATGCTCATTACACTTTTCAGGTTGCTCATTAGATTCTTGTGAAAGTACTGTGAAGCTTGGCTTTTCGTACTGTGTCAGTGTTGGCCTCTCATTTCTCTTCTTCTGTGCCATTTCAATGGCTTCTACTGCTCTCAGAACATCTTCTGTCCAGAAATCATCATCTGGTGTCAATGTTATTTCTTTTGCTTTTTCAGTTGTTGGCTGTTATTTGGAGTATGTGTTGAACAGTCCATGTACTTTATCAAGCAGGACCTTCATTGTTTCATCATCCGGCAAAGCCTGTGCAGCCTGCTGAAATTTCTCATCATAGATTGATATGCTTTCAGCCAACTGTTTAGCTGTTGTGGTGAATTCCTTCATCACGTCCTGCTTTAATTACAACAATATGATGATTACAAACTAATTATGCTGTAACAGACACTCATTAGAATATTGCACTGGTAACACACTGATATTCAGTGGCACTATCATTTTATTATCTGTAACCACTCATCATTATTAAATATTTAACATCGTTTCATACCTTTTTTGGCTGCTGTGAACATTCAGCTTCAGATTGTGTTGCCTTGTTTGGATCATTTCCCATCACTTCTGGTATCTCCATTGTTCCCTGATTTGCCTCATCTGTGTAACCATATCCAATGCCTCCGCTTTCCATCTCTTCTTTTTCTCTTTTATTCAAATTCTGAGTAGTCCATCCAATAAATGATGGTGCTTTCCTTGGCAGTCTCCTCCTTTAAACACCAGTCTATCAACATAGAATATCTGCACATAGTGTTAATCTAGAATTGAACATAAAACTTTCAAAACATTTACTAGTACACTCATTATATTTAGCATTAAGAGTTCATCAATTTTTAATACTTACAATCAGAAAGAGTAGAGATCCAGGGAAATGTCTTGTTCTGTCCTTATTCCAAAAGTCTTTTGCTTTGATGAGTGTGTGCAATGTATATCCACACCGGTCTAGATCTCTAACTGTTGACTCATCATCCAAAGCTTTCAGAATGCTTTGGTTCACATAGCAATTCAGTTTACCTTCCATCAACAATGTGACTAAGAGAACCAAAAAATTCTTCTTAAACATCCATCCTCCTTCTCTGCTCTCCTCTAAAGCTTTCTTCAATACGCCTGGTTTTACTTGCCCTCTCTCATTAGGGAACTGCTTTCTCCACTCAGCTACCATTTCATAAGTGAACTCAGCTTGTGTGTCAATTTTTTCTTGTATGTTTATTGCTCCTCTTGGGAATCCCAATGTGTAATGCACTGATTCTCTCGTGATGTCACGCCCCGGACCGCATCCGAGCCACGTAGACAACCGCCGTACAACCCGATAAGAACAACAACAGTTCATCCCTATTGAGTTGTACAAGGCGTCCGATTGATTCTATTACCAAACCGATTAGTAAACACATACAATCAACATCAATATCGTAATCAAACAAATGCGGAAATAATAAAATGTTTGATACTTAGCCACACGTGGCAAACACGGGCACGCAGGCCCCCAACTGTTTTAATGAAAATATTGTTCAAAAATCCATGAGCGGTTTATACATTTGAAATAAGAATGGAAGCACGAACCACATCTTCCTTCTCGATCAGTCACCCTAGGCAAAGGTGCAGGTAGTAGGACTCTAGCCTCAACCTGAAAAATGTGAGGGCCCCCGGAGGGGTCAGTACTCCATAGAAGTACTAGTGACAAGCAGGCTATATGAAGAATAACTAATGTTTCAGACACGAGACCCAAAAATAGGGTGATACATATATATATATGTGACTCATTCATCCGATGATACATACTGTATATATATATGTAAAATACTCGACCCGTAGGTCATTTCATTCAAAGAGTCTTTTAGAGATAAAGTTCTTACCTGACCTTTCTCACCCTTTTCCCGAATGCCTAGCTCACCAGCTACATTCTACATTCATAATATCCTACCGCGTTTTGGGAGCATTTAGCATCCCGGGGATGCTCAACCCCAACCGAGTTTCAGGATCATTAAATGTTCCGGGGATGCTCAACCCCAACCGAGTTTCAGGATCATTTGTAGTCCCGGGGATGCTCAACCCCAACCGAGTTTCAGGATCATGTATGGTCCCGGGGATGCTCAACCCCAACCGAGTTTCAGAATCATTTAATGTCCCGGGGATGCTCAACCCCAACCGAGTTTCAGGATCATTTATAGTCCCGGGGATGCTCAACCCCAACCGAGTTTCAGGATCATCTAATGTCCCGGGGATACTCAACCCCAAACTAAATCCTTACCAAACCCTAACCTGGATATGGCTAACCTTTCGTTCCTTCAACTATGGACAATACCTAGCCCTATAGTCATATAACCATCCTTAGGAACCAATGTGGGCGGGTCCCACCTGAACGGCCCACATTAACCCGCTCAAAACTGCCCGTTTTGAGCATAAACCAACACTCGATCGAGTATCTACCCATACTCGGTCGAGTACAGGAGGCGGTAGCCCCCAAAGCTAATTTTCCATGTATACTCGATCGAGTATCTACCTATACTCGATCGGGTATAGGAGACAGTAGCCCCCTGGGCAATTTTTCAGCAAATACCCGGTCGGGTATGTGTCAATACCCGGTCGGGTATAGCAGTTGACTTGGCGGTCAACGCCCCTTTTTACCCCCCAAACGGAGTCCGATTAACTTGAAATTTTATACACATATACTTCTTGATGTCCTTGATCCAAAAATACCATTTTGGATCCCTGGATCATCACACAAAATATATTATCACATTTTTAATCACCAAACCTACATAACATGCTTTTCAACTATGTTTTATGCAAAATCATGGCATAAGCAAATACTTGATTATCTTTAATCATTCCACAAAACATATCCTTGATTACTTTAGGTAATCTCATGCCTAACGCAAAAGTTATAAAGCATAAAGCCGTCTTCTCACCTTAATGAAGCTTATGAAGTTCTAGCCTTCCCGATTTAGCTCCGGCGAAACTCCGACGAACTTCAACGAACTCCGGCGACAACTCCGGCGACCTTTTCAACTCCGTGAAAGTTCCTTGAATACCTTAGACAAGTTACTAACAAGGTTTTATCATCATAAAACCCATAGTAATACAAATAACCTCAAAAAGGTTATTTTCCGGCGAACCGGACACTTTGGCTTCTAAGTCCGTTCTTGGACTTAGAACTACCTTCCAACCCCTCTTTCTACACATCCCAACGTGTAGAACATTACTAGGGTGTGAAATATGATTGAATAATCATATAAGAGGATTAAAGACAACGAAATGGGATTAATGGGGTCCTTACCTTGCTAAACACAAGTTTTCCCACCTAAACTCCTCTTTTCTCTTCTCTTTTTCCTTTCTTCTTCCTCCCTCAACTTGGTGCGTGTATGATGGATGAAAATGGAGTTTTTGCAGAACTTCTCTCCTCCAAAATGATGGTTGGGACGCAGTGTATGGGCTGGGGTGGTTGAGAGTGTCCTTTTTGGATCATTCACCAATGATATGAGGGAGGGACCCCCTTCCTTTCACACCTTGTCTCCACCCCCCCTTCTCACTCCCTTCCAGCATCCTAAAGGTGCGGCTCCCCTATGCATTTACCAGCTTAAGGACGTGGGTTGGCCCCCACTCATGTGGGAGGTCAACCCTTTGTGTACCCAAGTGTACAATCGGTCCCGAAAGTTGTATTTTCCGGACTGTTTTAAGTATATTTTATTTTATCGGGTCAAATAAAATATAACACTTGTTCCCAATCCTTATTGGACCTTAGAATCAATATGATTCCCCAACTTTAATTTATAAATCTCCGGAATCCCTTTTTGGGCTGTTATCAGATAAATTGCCGATACCGATAATTTGGCCCCGTTTGACCAACCGGTCAACTCTATGCCATTGCCATGGCCCAATTAGGATATCCATCACCATATACATATTATCTAGTCCAAGATCAATATAATATGTGCTTCCGATAATATCGGGCGGCCCCACATCCGGTGTGGGCCCCACGTGAATTCTACTATTCACGTAATAGAAATGATAAAAAGTTTACAATCACGTAAAAATGCTTTTATACATTTCTCAAGGTTCAATACATAATTTGGTACAGTACAAATACTCGGGGGCGGTGTTACAAGTTCTACCCCCCTTATTTGGGATTTCGTCCCCGAAATCCACGTGTCTAATCAAACAGAAATGGATATTGTTCCCTCATTAGGGTCTCCACTTCCCACGTTTGCTCCTCGACACGATCACTCTTCTAAAGTACTTTTAGCATCGGCACCTCCTTGCTCCTCAGCTTCTTTACCTGTCGGTCCATGATTTCCACCGGCTGCACCGTATAGTGTAGGTCTTCTCGGATTTCCACCGGTGGTTTCTCAAGAATATGTGACGGGTCCCGCACATACTTCTTGAGCATAGAAACATGAAATACATTATGAATCTTTTCTAACTCTGGAGTCAACTGAAGTCGGTAAGCTACAACCCCAATCCTTTCAAGGATTTTGAACGGACCTATGTAACGTGGTTTAAGCTTACCCCGACTGAGGAACCTGATGATCCCTTTCCAAGGTGATACCCTCAGAAATACCTCATCACCGACCTCAAACTCCAACGTCCTCCGACGTTTATCAGCATAGCTCTTCTGCCGGTCTTGGACAGCCTTGAGCCTATCTTGTATGACTTTTATCTTCTCCTTAGTGATCTCGACTAACTCGGTGCCCTCGAGCTTAGCCTCGCCGACCTCATCCCAACACAATGGTGTCCGGCATTTCCTCCCATACAATGCCTCGTATGGGGGCATGCCTATACTTGCCTGATAACTGTTGTTATAGGCGAATTCCACTAAAGCCAACTGATTGTTCCAGCTCCCCTGGAACTCCAAGGCACATGCCCTTAACATGTCCTCCAAGATTTGAATCACCCGTTCCGATTGCCCATCCGTTTGAGGATGAAACGCAGTGCTAAACCTCAATTTCGTACCCATGGATTCCTGGAACTTAGGCCAAAACCGTGATGTGAACCGTGGGTCTCTATCCGATACTATAGTAACCGGGACCCCATGCAGTCTCACAATCTCATCTGTGTACAATTTGGCCAACCGCTCGAGCGTATAGGTAGTGTTGATAGGTAGGAAATGAGCGCTCTTGGTCAGCCTATCGACTACCACCCATACTGCGTCGTAGTTCCTAACCGTCCGTGGTAGACCCACCACGAAGTCCATGGTAACATGCTCCCACTTCCATTCTGGAATGGTAAGTGGTTGTAGTAACCCTGCTGGGTGTTGGTGCTCTGCCTTAACCTGTTGACAAGTAAGGCAACGACTCACGTATTCTGCAATTTCTCTCTTCATCCCTGACCACCAGTAACTTTCCTTCAAGTTTCGGTACATCTTTGTACCGCCCGGGTGCATGGCATACGCAGATGAGTGAGCCTCCTCAAGGATAGATTTTCGGAGCTCCTCATCCGATGGTACACACACTCGTTCCTTGAATAGTAGAAGTCCATCTTCTCTCTCACGGAAACCCTCGACGGGCCCCACAAGCATCCGTTCCCGGATTTTCTGAAATTCCTCGTCATTGCCTTGACATGTTCTGATTTCATCTAATAAGTTGGGTCTCACCTCAAATCTGGCCAATAGCGCCCCATCCGTGGATACCTCCACGCGTGCCCTCAGTGCCCGTAAGCATGTGAGTAAAACCCCTGATGATGAGCTCTTCCTGCTCAGTGCATCAGCTACAACATTAGCCTTGCCTGGATGATAGTCAATGATCAAGTTGTAATCCTTAATCAACTCCATCCATCTCCTCTGTCTCATGTTCAACTCTTTCTGAGTGAACACATACTTCAAGCTCTTGTGGTCGGTGTAGATGTGACACAACTCCCCGTAGAGGTAGTGCCTCCAAATCTTCAATGCAAATACCACAGCACCTAGTTCCAGATCATGTGTGGGGTAGTTTACTTCATGCTTCCTCAACTGCCGAGAAGCATAAGCAATTACCTTCCCTGATTGCATCAGTACACATCCCAGTCCCTGAATGCTAGCATCGCTGTAGATGTCATACCCTAACCCTTGCACGGGCAAGGCAAGCACTGGTGCTTCGGTCAAACGTTTCTTTAGCTCAAGAAACCCCTTCTCACACTTGTCATCCCACACAAACTTAGCCCCCTTTTTAGTGAGCTTCGTGAGTGGAGATGCTATCACCGAGAACTTTTCCACGAATTTGCGGTAATACCCCGCTAAACCGAGGAAACTCCTTATCTCCTTCACTTTCTTGGGCCTCTCCCAATTAGTGACCGCCTCAATCTTGGAGTTATCAACTGAAATGCCCGAGCCCGATACCACATGCCCGAGAAAACCGATCTCCCCAAGCCAAAATTCACATTTAGAGAATTTGGCAAAGAGTTGCTTCTCCCGCAGTGTTTCAAGCACAAGCCTTAGATGTTTTTCGTGTTCCTCTTCACTCATGGAGTATATTAAAATGTCATCAATGAATACTATGACGAACTGGTCTAAGTATTGGTGAAATACTCGGTTCATGAGGTCCATGAATGCCGCGGGGGCGTTCGTAAGCCCAAACGACATTACTAGAAACTCATAGTGACCATACCTTGTACGGAATGCACTTTTGGGTATGTCACTCTCCTTGATCTTCAGTTGATGGTAGCCTGACCTCAAGTCAATCTTAGAGAACACCGTTGCCCCCCGTAGTTGATCAAACAAGTCATCGATCCTTGGCAAAGGATATTTGTTCTTTATCGTGACCTTGTTCAACTGACGGTAGTCGATACACATTCTGAGTGTACCATCCTTCTTCTTTACAAATAGTACCGGTGCTCCCCATGGTGAATGACTCGGCCTGATGAATCCGCTATCCAGCAATTCTTCCAATTGCACCTTCAACTCTTGAAGTTCAGCCGGTGCCATCCGATATGGAGGAATCGAGATGGGTTTTGTACCGGGTTCTACTTCAATGGTGAACTCAATTTCTCGATCTGGTGGGAGTCCCGGGAGTTCCTCAGGGAAAATTTCTGGGTACTCACTCACCACTCTCACCTCAGTGAGACTCTTTTCCTTGCCCTCCTTGACTATGACATAGGCCAAGTATGCTTGACACCCTTTCCTCATCATACGCCTTGCTCTTATGGCCGATATGATACAAGGGTTGAATTTCCCTCTATCTCCCTCGAAGCATAGAGTGTTCCCTTCTCCATCCTTTAGTTCTAACACCTTGGTGTAGCAATCTACCTTCGCATGGTGTTTTTCGAGCCAATCCATGCCAAGTATAGCATCAAACTCGAGCATATCTAACGGCACAAAGTCACCCGTTAGACAATGCCCCCCTATCTCTACATTACACGAGGGATAATAGTGTTTCCGCTCTACATCATCTCCCAATGGCGTAGAGACCAGCAAAGGTTGCATCATTGCTACCAAAGGCATGTTCAATCCCTTGGCAAACGCTTCGCTCACAAATGAACGTTGTGCCCCGGTATCGATGAGAATTCTCGCATCCCTATCGTTGATCTTTAGTGTTCCTACATATATAAGTCATGTAAGACACCCTATTCGTCATCCCGGCAGAAAAGGACCGGACGAAAAAATTTCAGCCTAGAATTACCCCATACCCGGTCGGGTAGGGTCCTCTACCCGGTCGGGTATCACTCGAGTCCTTAAGGAGAAACACCCCTGTTTTCCTTGCTCGGTCGAGTACCAGCCTCGAATTCGGGCAAAATGTCAATACCCGGTCGGGTATATACCTATACCCGGTCGGGTATCACTCAAAATCCACAAATAAAAGCTCCCTGTCTTCTACGCTCGATCGAGTACACACTTCGAAGTTCAAAATCTACACATACCCGACCGAGTATATAGCCATACCCGATCGGGTATTGCTCGAAATGTCAAAAATAAAGCATCCTGCCTTGGCTGCCCGAACGGGTGCACACTTCGAGCTCGAAGCATAGCTTATACCCGGTCGGGTCTATAGGAGTACCCGATCGGGTCCTTCATATTTTTGAAGATTTTTCAACCAATTACATGATCAAATACGTGTGAAATCAAGAGATTACCTGCAATGGAGTCCGGGTTGGCCCGAGCATCAGCCTCGGTCACTGCATACACCCGTGCTTGGGTCCTCCCTTGATTAACGGACGCGGCGTTGCTCGCCGTGGGTCCGCTCCTTCCCGTGC